ATTTAGAATAAAATAGATGATAAAGCAGGGTATGCTTTAGGGCGTGGCTATCTTTTGATTAAAAAGTCATTCTCAGTGAGTCAGGAACTCAGATCAAACTGTCAAACTAGGCAGTGCTGATCAAATATAAATCAAGATTCTGTTACTGGGTTGACTATTTCTTGCCTCAAATCATATTCCAAACATATTTTAGTGTTCTGTTTATCTGTAATATGAGAATGTATGTGACCAGGTAAGCTGCCATTGTTTCCTTACATGGTGCGCCAGCTCTACCAGGTGAGCTGTCCGGCGCCCCCAACCACCATTGTTTCCTGCTATGAACAAGTTGAAACTAAGCACATCCAATGAGAGCAGCTCAACACGAAACTCACTGCTGCTGAAAAACCACCATGGTGACGTCATAATGCCGAACCCAAGGCTTCAAAACAGTACTCCACAAACCAATAGGTGATGTCACTATAGTTTCACACTCTATCTCCAAGGAAGTTTCCACGGTAACTACGGCCAGACTTATTCAAATCTCCATTATGAAACATAGTTTTCAAAAAAATAAGCCTGATTCACTGGAGTAAAGCTGGTTTAACAGTCCTCAGCTTTGAAACATACATGCCTTTATTCAGTAGACGCTATACTTTCTTTTGTTCAGTGTGAGAAAGGCTTCATGAAGGAAGACTTTGACAGACATTCATATTTGGACCATCCTAGTTAAAGGAGAGAAGGGTTTCTTCTTATTACCCCAGTTAGCTGAGTAATTTCTGGGAAGGGTATTCTAATTGAAATGATTAATTTGGGAAACCTAATTATGTTTCTATGTTAAAACTCATTGCAGAAAATATTCAATACAAAAGGGAAGATGTGGAACAAGACTCCGGGGAGACAGGAGAAGTGTGTCACTAGGTGGTAGTAGATACAGAGCTGCTTTTGACCTTTAAGATGACACAGATGATTGATGTAGGGATGTGAGTTACAGTTACATTCAGTCACTTCACAGAGAAACGTGTCAAACACTTGTATGTGAATGGACGTTATATTGGGGATCCAGGGAGCTACTCACAGGAACCAATCAACCGCAATGATGAGAGTGATGTCATCGGTAGGAAGTCCAACAGAGGTCAGTACAATCACCATGGTGACCAGGCCTGCCTGAGGGATGCCAGCAGCTCCAATACTGGCTGCAGTTGCTGTGATACTTGATTGAAGAAAAACATGCAGACACATTGAACAAGATTTTTTGCATATGCATTTTTCTTACTTGCGACAGAATCAGCTAATATTATCCTCTTTTGTTCATTTTTACCTGATGGTGATGATCTGGCCAAAGTTCATCTCCATGTTGTTGACCTGGGCAATGAAGATGGCTGCCAGTGCCTCATACAGAGCCGTCCCGTCCATGTTGATAGTGGCACCGACGGGCAGAATGAAACGCGTGATTCGCTTGTCAATTTTGTTGTTCTCCTCCAGACATTTGAAGGTGACAGGGAGGGTGGCCGAGCTGGGAGGTGAAAGAATGGAAACGGGTTAAAAACTACAGTTTGAAGGATCAGTCTTACATTTCTGGGAAAAACACTTTTAGAGGTGAATAGTTTTGCACAGTTCAGTTCAAAGAATTATAGTCTGTAACCTTTTACTTGTTTTTAGAGCTTTGATCGGACCTAAAAAATCAGGCCTGACACGACCCAAACACCAAAAAAATCCAAACCAAGCCTGAACGACAGAAGGAGTTTTGTGCCTGTGCCCAACCCGAGGCCGACCAGAGCCCAACCTGAGCCCCACCGTTGAGCTTTTAGCAGTGGAGCTGGCCAATGTTTAGCCTAGCTTAACATTAACACAATTATGTGGCACCAGGAGCCGGGGATTGAACCAACAACCTTCAGATTAGGGAACGACCCACTCTGCCTCTGCACCACATTGAATTGAATTGAATTGAATTGAATTGAATTGATAACGTCATATTTTTGGAGTAAAAGCTGATTTATACTGTATCAAATCAACACCGTGGGTACTGCCTCATGCCTACACCGGAGCGTGACGTGCATCTACCCAGACATGTCACTACACATCGCGGTGACGCAGAACGCAACTGTGATTTGTCCACTTGGTGTGTGTGTGCGCTGTCTGAGAATGGGAGGTGACTCATGCTAAACCCAGACAAGTTAATAATGCACAGACAAACGGGCACATGTGGGACGCTATCTCACTGCATGACATCCTCCTGTCTCCCCCCTCGTATTCCCTCTTCCTTTCTTTTCATGGCAGCAGGGGAAAAAGCTAATGAGGAAAACACAAGACAGACTAAGAAGAGAGACAAGGGAGAGTTTCACAGTGGCATAGAAACCCCACTGCCAGCTAGTGTTATTTGCAGAGCAATGCAGACACACCGGCGCAAGTATAAATGCTCACAACAATGTAGGTCACTTTCATAGGCTCGACGTAGAGCCTACGTACAACTTTACCACTGGCTAAAGCAAATGTGTCCACAATGAGACAGGGATCCTTTTATTGGTCAACACTACACCTGGAATTCTATTGGTTGGGGAATTTTGGGCAAGCAGCCTGAGTGCAAGAATGAGGGCTGAAGCCGAAGCACAAGAAATGACTGCAAGCCAACAGTTTGAGCCAAAGCAGAGCAAATCTCCGTGCATGTAGGGCCTAAGTGAGTGTGAGGACAGGGTTTGGAGGGAAAGGGTTCACGCTCATGCTCTCAAATTAAAAGACCACACTCTTGCATAATGACAGGAAAAAGAAACCTATAACAAAAATGTGTCCAGCAACTCCAAAGCTGTATGTCTATGTTGCCAGGTTTGCTCAAAATCATGGATAGGGGTGTAAAGATGAACTGATATGTGTCTGAAAACTAATATGAGAATCACAACCAATGCAAGAGTCACCGGTTTATTATGGCAACATCAATACAAAACCCAAACTCTGCATGAAACTTTCAAAGTAACTTCAAGCCATTTATAACATTCACACACGGAAAGACATGCCAGGATCACAGTGTACAAAACTGCCTTGAATATTTAGTGTGAAGTAGAGCAAACATGCAAAAATGTTTTGGGTAGTTTTAAACTTGACAGACCTAGACTAGGCCTGTTTCCACCTGCTCTTTGTCTTTGTGCTAAAAACTAGGCGTAATAATCATCTGTGCACTGGTGCCCCCATGTTCGAAAACACACAGCAAAAGTGCCCTCTTGGCTGCCCCTATGGCAGATAAAACACAATAAAATGCCCTCCACGGGTGCCCTTCCAATGGACAAAACAAGATAAAGTACCCTCTAGGATGTCCTTCCAGTGGACAGAATGTGGTAGTTGGTGCTTTAGAGTTCTAACACTAACCCTGAATAAGCTGTTTCACCATAAATGCATCACAACCTTCTACAAACTGGTAGCTGGTGCCCCTTTTATTATTTTCGCCGCTGCCCCTCAAACAGCCTGAGTTCACCACTGCAACTGTAGGTTTGACTGCAAACAAGCGTAGTTCCCAAAATACAGTTTCTTACAGGGAATAATTGTTGGTGTGGTAGTGTTGGACATGACTCACCTAGAGGATGTCCCCAGGGCTGTTATCAGAGCTTGCAGGAGGCCAGCAATGAAGACAAATGGGTTTTGGCGAGTGATGGCAAAATAAAGAGTGGGAAGAATAAGAACAGCATGGATCAGTAAGCCAATGATAACTGTGATGGTATACATGCCCAGCTGACCACCCATCTGTGTCAGATCATCCATCTCCACAATCTTTCCTGCAATCAGGAACAGGATACCAATAGGAGCATACCTGACAGAAAGAGGAGGAATAGCGAGTTATTGAAGTGTGATAGTAATGTTTGTTTTGCAAGAAACACCTCCCGCTGAAAGTGAAGTCTTACCACATGATGATGGAAACCAGGCGCATAATAGCTTCATTGAGACTGTCAAAGAAATCCCTCAGGAGCTGGCCCTGCTCCTTCATGTTGCCAATTATTAGACCAAAGCACATGGAGAAGACCACCAGCCCGAGGGCGTTGACCCCGTTCACCTGACCCTGCACCGGGATCACTTCCTCCCGGGTGATCTCCATGCTCTCCTGGGTGCCGTTGGTTGAGTTGAAGAGGCTGTCATTCACTGTCACTGTCACATGGACTACTCGCTTTCCATATTTGGTTTTGAACTGGAGAATGAGAGAATTAAAGGAACAAGTTTATATGAAACAGAACACTGCACTAATGTCAACCTTCAGAATCAGGTAATATTACTTTAAGTTAAATTACCGTTTTGTGTCTTCCTGGCTCATTCTTACCACTGGGGAAAAGTTTTCTAGTAGACTTGAAGTGTAACTAAATTCTACAAACTCCTTCCCTCCCAGCAAATGTAAAAAGAGTGACAGACTGACCATTGCGCAGTGTAGAATAAATACTGCTGCCAGCAATCAGAGCTAACCGAGCTAACCAGCCATGAGCAGCTGCTGTCAGACTCTCCATGTCCGCACTGGAAACACAGAGTGTCAGCGGGAACAGTCACTAGAAGCACATTCACAGCAATTTGTAAATTCTTTGTACTTGTGTTGTGAGGTTAGCTAGGGGACATTATGGTTTCCCATGAAATCACAGGACAAGTAGAACAGTGGATTGTATCTCAGCAACCAGTTGGGTAACACGATGTCTTTGGAAATAACTAATAATTCTCCCTTTATTTTTGTAGTTAGAATGACAACCTGAAGGCTGCTTTGAAGTGATTGTTTTTTAAAATAAATGAAAGAAACTTTAAGCTGTACTAATAAATATTGTTATGATACCAGATGGATCAAATGACTGTGTGATGATAAGAGGTCACTCTTACAAACTCTGCAGGTCCCTCAGCTCTATGTAGCTTTTTAGCCAATTTTGGTTGGTAGAGACCATCACATGGACACAAACACGACTTCAGTTAAATGCTAATGTTGCTACTTTAGTCAACTTTATGAGGAGATAATATGTCAGCGTTGTGTTTTCAGCTAGTTCCGCTGATCTGAAGCGGCCAAAGCAATTATCACAGATTAAGATTGAACTGAGTACTGTTGCACCCCTATTATTAACACTGTGTTGTCTCAATGTATCTTACACCAACAATATCCATTCCTTATGGAGACACATGAACAAATACATATGAGGAGTAAAGCCAACACATTGTGACTTGCTAGCTATCAAACCGAGATTAGACTGGGAATATAATGACTGGACTGGGTAAGGGATTTTTTACAGTCTCCCGTTTGTCAGAGAGAGAGAGAGCACAGAAATGCAAGGGGAGGGAGACAAAGAGAGAGTTTTGGAGCTAACACACTGGCTTTGGGTTCAGTATGAAACATTTTGTGAGCTGTCAGCCCTTAGCTAGGTGGGGTCTACATAAATCAGTTAGGGTCAGTCTAGGGCCACAATATCTGGCCCAGTGAAGTATTCTACCCTTTGCCTTTACTCTAGCACTTTCCACTTCTAAAAGTGGTTGAAACTTCAAAGGATGAACCTTACACACACATAAATTTGCTCATTAGACATTACATGTTTTTATTAATAAGCAGAGTATCATTACATTTGTTGGGCACACTCCATGTCCTAAGCGGCTCTAAAGAATTGAAAAAAACTTTTGCTTGCTTGTTGAACACTGCAAGGGTCAGGGGTGGCTTGCCAAAATATTACCTGTTTTCATGGATACAAAGCCCTGCAATTTTAGTAAATGATAATTGTAAAGCTCACCTGCTGTGTGCAGGCTTGGACCAAGTTTGGTGGAAACATATTTCTGAAATGAGAAATCACAGTGATTAAAAGATGATGTTGGCCAGTTACGAACTTTGGGGATATTATAGTTCTTCTATGCAGGCTACCTGATCAGATCTAAGAAGGCATCAGCAGGACTGACTTGCTCTATCGTCTGCTGCTTTCCAAACTCCTCTTTGGATCCTTTTCCTGGGTGGATGATGAGGACGATTATGATACCGATGAAGACTGCGATAAAGGTCGTGGTCATGTAGTAAATCACGGCTCTCATACCCATCTTTCCTGAGGCTTTGCTGTCCAAAGCTGCCATTCCTAATGGACAGAGGGTAGAAATGCAGTTGGTTTGAGTGTTATTACACGGCTTTGTTGAATACTCGATTCTGATTGGTCGATTATGGCATTCTACAGTCTGTTATTTCTGAATAACAGATTGCTGCTCTATTTGCAATTCTGTAAAAAAAAAAATCTAAATTTACAAGGTTCTTACTGTTTATTTTACTGCTTATTTAAAGAAATTTTCATTTTTTCATATAAAAAGTTAAAATACATTTGTAAATATTTTTTTCCCTACAGATATTTACTATTTATTTAATAGATTACACTTTTACACAAGTTTAATATTTTTTATATATTCCTAAAATTATGTAAAATGCTGTGTTAATTGACAGATAACTTATAATATATGGAAGAAAAATTACTCTAATTTCACAAAACTTTTAAAATTCAGATTAAAATAAGATCTTTAATTAAACATTAAAAAGGCAAAAATTACAGAAGATTTTATGTCAAATTAAAGCTTAAAAACTGTATTTTAATTGTAGAATTAATAAAGGATTTTTATCAGTCAGCTGCTTGAATATTTATATTTCTTTTTTACTGTTTTCTTTGTAGTGTAGTCTATGGAGGACCACAGGGGAAGATATGAAATCATTTAAAAAAAAAATGTTTGGTGTGAAGTTATTTCCTTAGTAAGGAAATTGTGAAAAAAAAAAAAAAAGCCCTCAGGGTAATGCAAGACCCAAGCCTGTCAGGATTTATTTCACTATAATGACCCACTTGCTACATTAGCACTTACTCAAGACATTAAGACTATGTTGTGGTGAGGTTGTCTGTCTAGTATTTTAATCAGCAGGCATATTATGAATTGATTATATACTGCACATCAGGTGGTTCTTACATAGTCTATTAAAATCTTATATATCTGAACACTTTGGAGTGAAGTATGTTTCCATGCAATGGAATTTCTCAATAAGAAGAACATCCCACATTTTCTTGATGTTTTTTTCTGCTTAAACATTAATGAAGGTTATTGCAGATTATGAAAGGAAGGAGGAAAAGAATCATTGCACTTCCACCCAAACCCAACTGTGATGTAGTGCAGGAAGGGTTAAATGCTGAAAATTTTCATTGTAGTTTGTCACTCATTAACATACATTCCCCTATCAGTCAGAAAAAAAGCAGTTATTCAAAGAAAGTTTCTCATAAGTGGGGCAAATTTTGAGTTTCCAGATTCTGGAAGTTTGGATAGTCAGTGGTACAGTAGATGACTGACAGGGCACACTCAAAGCTTGGATGGGCAAAGATTTCTTCCTGGTTGAATTATTGCTACAAATGATTAGCAACCACCTAAAATGTCTTTGATAAACTGATTAAAAAAGCATAAGGAAAGAGGTTAACTGGATTCCCATGGTGCATTTCGGTAGAAACAGCCAATTGATGAACCAAACATAGACAACAGTAAATTTAGAGGCCACAAGGATGAAGCACCTTCTGTAATTGATTTGAACCACGTCTTCTGAATTAGTGGTAGTCTCTTCATCGCCAAGCTGGGGGTGAGGTTAGCCTCCTCAGTGATTACTGGGTTGTAAAGATGACCTCCCTGTGAACTACCTCTACCAAGCTGTCTCTGTCCCAGCACCAAGCAAGCCCAATCTTTTATATGTTATAACACCCATCTGAAACACTGTTGATCTTTTCTGAATTTGAAAAATACTACGGTTTGTGTTTCTAAATAGTTTCCATTTACCATAGCTCCAGTTTGTGTCTCTCATGTATGACAGGTACATTCGAGTCAAAGAGCTAAGTGTCTGATTTCCCAAAACAAAAATAATTACCCAGTGACCTTTTGAAAATCCAGGTGCGTGTTGAACAACACTTCGGAAAGTATTTGCTGAATCCTCAAAGGCTCTTCTAACCATCTGGATGAACAAATATTCTGTCGGCTGCACAATAAAAAAGTTTTTTAACTTGTTTCCCAAGTCGTTTTTTGGAGATGACATATCGCATTGAATTTGTAAAACACACACCAATCTGATAAAATTGCACGGTGAATATTGAATGTTGAAATGCTGACATGTAAGTAATGTAGTAAGACTAGTTGTGGCAGAGTCTAATAATATAAATGTGATTTAAAAGTTGGATAAGTCATAATGTATGAAAGATGTGGAATATTGTGTATAGGATAAATCAAAAGTATTATAAAGTGGATGGAATTTGAGAAATTAATAAAAGAAAGTCCTGTCTTGTGTGGTGGTTGTGTGGTGTGTGTGTGTGGTTTTTGTGTGTGTGTGTGTTGTTGTGTGTGTGGGTGTGTGTGTGTGTGTGTCAAACTGCTGTCTGTGTGTCAAACTGCACTAGCCAGATCACAGCAGTTGCAGAGCTGCTTTGTTAGACCCATTTTTGATTTTCCACTGCTCCCTTTTTGACTGCTCATCACATGAACATGGATGACCGCTGAAGAGAAACTGAATCACACCTCTGAGAATATAGAAGAAAGTGAGTGTTGACAAGTCCTATACCCATGTATGACATCATTTGAAAATGTGTTGTACCTGTTATTAGACTGGAGATCAGTAAGGGGAGAACAAGCATCTGAAGCATTCTCATTAAAAGCTCTCCGGGGAAAGAGAAGTACTTCACTTCTCGATAGGTCATCTTATACGGACGGAGAGCGAATCCCAGAGCGATACCTGCGGAGACAATGACAGCAAGGGCCTGTGTGTTATATGTATGTGTGTCTCCATTGCATTGACAAGACTCTGACTGAAAGAAGTCTTTTCATTTAGCTGGCAGATAAATACACACCTATAATAACTGCCCCAACTGTAAAGAGCACAAAGGCATTCTTCTTGAGGAAAGCCTGGATGTCCTCTTTGGAGATCTCCTCCACTTTCCTCTTTGCCTTCATGGTGCGTATGTGAATGCCTTCCCTGAAACGCTGCATCCTGCTGAAGTAAACCCAAATATGTCCATTAGTGCAAATAGAATTTGGATAGACTTTGGATCTGAAAGAAGAAATAGGGGTCGAAATCCACAGCCTTCATTCTGCGCAAAAATGCAAGTTTGGCTCATGCTAATATGAGTCGTCAATAGACAAGTCAAAGTGTGTGTCTTCCAAAATTACAATGCTGAGAAACAGAAGGCAAATATTATGCAGCGAAAAAGCTACGTAATTTGTTTTCAAATCAAGGTCAATGTTTACAGTGTGATTAAAGAAATCAACCAATCACACTGTGCGGAACAGACGTCACGTCAAAACTCATGGCGGACCTGTTGATTGTTTATGTTTCTCATCACCTTGTATTATATGACAACGGACACAAAAATGATACAGACAATGTGACAAAAGTGAGTTGGGATGACAATTGCTCCGTCTGCACAGAATGCTATGTGGGATTTTCTGACGGGAAACTGAAGCTGTTATATCCATCGATGCCCTCTTCAGAGCCCACAAAAAATAATTACTACTGATCTACTGCTGCCCCAATAAGTTTGTCTGTTGTGTATGTGTACATTTATTTGTATGTTTTTACATTCTAATTTACTTACTAATTTGCATTGCTGTCTGTCTGAATAGTTTTGATACTCCATATTTGCAGGCGAGTATTTCGCTTTTTCATGACGTTTATTTGTCACGTCCTTGTGGAAAAGTTCAAATTGTTTGCTTTTTTCTACATGAAGCCAAAATATTTTGTTCACTACAGGGCTCCCATCTTCCACTTACTACAGTACTTCAAGGTTACGGGGTCCAGTTTTAATGCAATTTGGAAAAATCCAATGCATTTGTGATCTAATGGCCAGCAGACCCGACGGCCACAAGGGGGCACTAGTCCTTTACTGTCAACCATTAAACCTACTTTGGAATGAATGACTTCCCACCTCTGTTAATCCCTCAATGCCTGAAGTTGTGCATGTATCGTAATGTTGGTCTAAATGCGGCCTACATGCAAAACACATTTTAAGAAGTCGATTTATTCGCACAAGTTTGAATGTTTGACTGAGTGTTCAGAGACACCATTAGCCGTCTATGGTCTGGGTGTTGAATGTGTTTGTGAGTAAATGAGTGTGTATGAATGGTAAATGCACCTTTACACTTTACCCATTCACACAAATTCATACAGCAATGGCACAGCATCCGGAGAGTTTTGGGGTTTAGTATCTTGTTCAGGGATGCATCGACCTTCAGCAGGACGATCTGGGGATCGACTGACTTCAAAACAGGCCATGAACTCTCTTATCTTTCTCTTATCATGCCCCTGGTTGTCTTATTTTTGCTCCTGTCTCTGCACGTTAAAAGGACAGACGTAGAAAACTGTTTACATCTGGATTTTCCAGGATACTCTCAAAGAAACCGGCAATAAGCAGATATATTTTATTGGTTTCCCCTGAGTGATCAAGAATGGACAAAAATGAGACATGTAGCTGTCCACATTACATAATATCAAAGATAGAGCATCTCAGAGTTCTGTGTACAGAGTTAGTTCAGCAGGAAACACTATCCAGGCGGATTTCATACTAAAATGGCAATAACTTGGAAGGACACCCTCTTTGTTTTCTCAGATTGCTAAAGCTTTATCTTCAGCAGAACTTTCCAATTTATTGTATTTTTATTTACAATAAAGACTGCAGATTTTGTTCCCCAATCTCAAACAGTGAAGTGGCATTCGAAAGGAATGTCTTCACGACCAGTATGAACAGAAGAAGGAACTGCAGCGTCCATTAACTCTTTCAACATAGAAATGGGCATGTGAGTATTGTTTTAATATAGACTTTAACACAAAATGCACATAATTTGCTAAGATACAACCTTATATATAAAGTGAAAAACACATTATTTGACATTTAATCTCAAGTAGAACATTATGGGACATTAAAAGGACACTAAGAAGATGATGATTCATTTATAACATCATACAGCATTCACCCTGCTATTAAAAAGGTCAGTTCAGGCCATAAAACATACATTCTCACATCACCAAGCTAATAGTTTTGGTTTGGATTTTTTCAATGTTGTGAGCACAACAACTGAAATTCCACTCCACTGCATTGGGGTGGAGACAGAAATCTCAAACACCTGACTGGTTTCATTTTTTTGTGATCAGGTGAACTGATCCTTTAATATCCAGGTTTCCTCCTTCTTTTATTGTCTTACACTCATATATTTTAAAGAACCCACTGCATTTAAAACCCCCAGTACCCATACATTTTAAAGCAGAACAAATAAATACACACATACCTCTTCAGACCGGTGTTTGCTCTTCAGCTCTCAGTGAGGGGCACTTCAGTGGTCTTGCTCGTCCTGGAAGCAGCAGCCGAGGCAGGGGAAGGAGTGCAGGGGTTTTACTGGTGCTGCTGGGAGTCAGGAGATCAGGAGAGTGACTGGGAGATGGAGCTCTCCAAGAGTCTGGGAAAGAGTGCTCTCCTGCACCTGCTGTAATTGGGAAAACAAGGGAGGGGAGACATCAAGAAGAGAGACAGAGAGAGGGAGGGAGGGAGACTAAGAGGACAAATTAGAAAATGGTCCTCCCATAATAACACTGTTAGCCCTGTGACACAGTTTCAGGTAAAGCCCAGATGTATGAAAAACTTTGTTGAGACTTGTAATGAGAATCATCATAGAATTATTTGCTTGGGGGAATGATACATCTAAAATTCTCCTTACCTCTCATCTCACCCTTATTTCTTTTCTTTTTCTCACCTCTTCCTACTTTCTCTTCCTTTTTGTTTCAACTTTACTTACTTTATTGGAGTTGTAGACACACATTAGGAATTATTTCAGGCATAAAACAATAACCAGGTTTAATTGATACGCATCATCTCACTCGGGACGCGTTATAGTTCGAGGTAATTCCGCAGAGTAAATGACACACCACAATTAGCTGAAAAAAGTAGAGCTCGTGCAGTAATAAGTGACCTCACTGTATGGAAAAAATATTCCCTGGTGAAGTTGAATATAATTAGTGAAGAATACCCCTAAAATCAGGTCACGTAGCCTTTTACAAACACTATTCCCTGGTCACTGTCGCACTAATGAATGAAATATTTCTGTAGATGTTTGTTAGTGATCCAAACTACCTCAGAAATGTAGTTATCTATAATCTACCTATATTTTTAGACCCTTTGGTTTAGTTTTCATTTATACCTAAAATGGGTTGAAAATGAGCTGTCTGTTAATTTGATATTTTATGTGAGATCCAAGGCAGAAATATGCTGAAGAAGATACTAGAACATACTGTAGATTACTTGTTCCCAACCTGGGGGCCCTGACCTCCACTAGGGGTCACCAAAGGTTGCTGATTTTAATGGGTACAACTTTAAACTTATATAGGTAGGCCTATATCTTAACATTTAATTCATTTGTGTGAAAAATAAAACTAAATGAAATGTTTAATCTCACAAGATGAGAGCACATTGAAGAACACAGGCTATATTCACAGAGCCCTCGGTCTCTGTTAAACGGCCTCGTCCTGCATTAGAAAGGTATGCAGTTAAAACAACCAAAGAGCTAATAGAACAATGAGAAGAAAACATTGTATAAATTAATAATTAACACAAGGACTTATGTCCACTATGTAAATGTGCCAGATTTAGCCATACAGGCTTATTTTCATCTGCAGTCCCTGGCAGGTTAATAGCATATTAGAAACATTAAAAGAAAACAGAAACAGAAAAAGGCAGACCATGGAAAGTAAAATATCTGCAAATTTGATCATGTTTTCCCAGTTAAAAAAAAAAAAACACATTTTACAATGATGATATGAATTTGACTGAACCTGACTGTAATGTGGTCTCACACACTGTCTGTGCCTGAGTACATGAGACAGATAATGTGTGACAAAACCGGGCTCGTCCTAGTGCTCCTGATTGTTAAAATCCTTAAAAATACATAACACAGACAAAGAATTGTATAATGTGGTTGTATGTTTTAGCTTAGCTTTTGGTTTTCTGGCTCACAACTTTACTGTTTCTGCTCACTCTCTTAACAACAACAGCAGGCAGTTCTGATAAACCCACTGTACACTACCTGCTTAGCAGGAAACAGCAGGCAGACACAGTTAGAGACTAGCTGGTGAACATAGTGGAGCAATGAATAACAACAAGACCAAGACCGGCCAACATTCAAAAGAACATAGAAAATAAAAGTAAAAGACACAACAACCTAAATAACTATTGACATTGCCATTGCCATCTTATACACTTACATATTCAACTAAAATGTGACATTTCCTCAATTCATTTTATATTTTACAGTGCTATAATGCATAGACTCATTGCAAAATAAATTTTAAAAATGGCTTTGGAATTTGACCATTTTACTTCATGAATATATTTCCCAGGTTTAATAAGCAAGATAATGCCAAATAACATTTGTATCTATCTTGTTGTTCTCAAGCTAAAACAAAATGTGTAAAAGGTTCAGTTTTATAACCGCCTCAAGTATCAGTCCAAATCCACCTGGACAATAATAAAAATGGAATAAGTGTTTCCTCATCCCTTCCACAAAAAACACATCTGTAATCAATTCTAAACTGTTCAAGTACATTTGTCACTGGATAAATTCTATGTACACTGCAAGCTCTGACCATGATACATTATCCTTTAACATGTAATCTATTGCACCACCATCAGGCCAAAATCTACTCATGACAAACACTGTGCTCCATGATGGGATATACTGAAAATAAATTAATTTTAGAAGAACACAGCCTAGTATTACTTACGCAACCATTCAGGACACTGACATTGGTAATATTTCTGATATAATACTGGGGCAAATAACAAGCTCTGTTTCACATCAGATACTAATGCTTTGGTTGCCTCATTCTGATAAATAAAAACAGGAGGTAAAGTTGGTGGCCAGTAAGGGAGCTTCAAGACAGTCTCTTTTATTAATAAAGATGCTGAAAATCAACTTAAAGGTCCAGTGTGTA